TTCACGAATACAACATTAGTTTCTGGAATTGTCCACTACTTGCATCGATTTTATCGATTTTATTGCAAAGTTCAACCTACGGCGCTGGGAGTTGGTACAGTAGTTGAGCATGCTGGGAAAACGGGGATAGGGAATTTGCATGGAGAAGTGACTGGGGAGATATTCTGCGCGGTTAGGATGGGACCTTTATCACAGTGTTTTGACTGGACCCGGCGGAGCCTGGTATGCCAGCTAGTATCACTATAGAAAACCTTTACGGCACAGAACAATGCTGAAGTGATTAGACTACTTTTTTGGGTCCAAACTCCCTGAGCTTTTGTAAAACTTAGCTGAAAATATGACACTAAGATGGCAGAGGTTGCCCGCACCATCGTGCATACTTTGCAGATTTTGATACATTCCTGTCACTTTGTTAGTTCATCAAAACTCTACGAACTTATGAAACGGCCTAATACATTCAATATCTTGCTAGCGGCATTGAGTAGGTTTTCGAAGCAATACCCTGCTAGTCGGCACTGCAAGTCGGTTTTCGAAGCATAACATCATGCTTACAGTTCCAGTGACATCAGACACTCGACCGCATTCAAATGTGGTAAGTCACTGATGCTCGAATGCATGATGCGCTCCAAAACCGAACTTGGTAGTGCACGATTAGCAAGATGTTGAGTGTACTAATTTCAAGGGGATGGCCAATTTACCGGAGACACAAATAGATGTTTTCGAACACTTAGTTTTTGAGCATGTGGCGATAAATCTATGCCAAATTTGGGGGATTGTTCCCTGGTTAGTAGGGCGCAAATTTGCAGCAATCAACCAAGTTTGCAAAAATTTTTAGTTTAGGATTTTTCAAAGAAATCTATTACGAAAAGCACAGCATAGCATAGCACAAAGCCTCGCCATCGTTACCCACATTTTCTGGAATAAATCAAGTTTTAGAATCTTATTTTGAGGCTCAAACCTTGGAATAAACATTACGAAAGCAGAGATACATAAGAAACTAGAAGTGCTTTTTTTTTTAGATATTTTGAAACTTTTTTGAGATAATGGTTTACTTTGGAAAGTAGCTCTTGAATATGAGGTTTGAAAAACTTGCGTTGATTAAGAATCAATCCAATATCTGAGTTACCTAAAGCTGCATCGCTTAGCATGATTCAAACTCGACGGTGCTGATGAAAAGAAGCAAGTACCG